TTCTGAGTGTCTCTTCAGACAGCTGAAGTAAAACTCAGTTACCCACTTTTTAGATCTCTCACCATCAAATTGTAGCTGGGACATAAGCTGCCCCTAGGTAAAGTTAAGAGAATCAGTAGCATCAGCATATTTTATACATGCTAGAGAAGAGCCAGTAATTAATTGTAATAGGCTAATCCATCTAAATATGGATTTGTCAGGTTTTTAAGATGATTGAGTCACTGACCCTTCTCAGCCAGTATCCAGTTGCATCCTGTGGCTAAAACTTAAAGTAGAGGGGATCAACTTTCTCCTCTTAGAGGTATCTGTGTGCTGACTTTTGTGGCTTTTGGCTTGTTTAGATCCAGCTCTGGTAGCCTGACATATGAGACCAGCTACCTTCAGGTTTTTGCTAATCAACACAAAACCATGGGATATTTTAATGCTCTTACTATAAAAAAATAAAGTCAGCAGTGATAGTTCTTCAATTTTATAGAGGTTAACGCTTTATTGTTAGTTACTGGAATTCCTACTGAGAACCAAAAAAGCCACAGAAAATGAACTTCCACAGGGATTTCTCAAAGCATACATACAACAGGACTGAGCGGTGTTGGCAGGAAAGCTTTTTCCTCGTCTCTCCAGTTTCTCTTTTAAGGAAAAACTAAGACAGGCTCAAGGCTTTCACAGAAGTTTGTGTTGGCCATCTCCACCCAGATCGTCTACACGCGCCAAGCTCGCCTGTTGAGATGAATGCTCAAGCTGGAGAGGCATTCCTTATTTCTGTTAAAGAAACAGCCCACCAACGGGTGTTTGTAGGTAAGAACAAAGCGCTATCACATGAGGTATAACATGCACAGATCAACTCCAGCCCCACAAAGCTGCAGACACTGCAGATCGAAGGAACTGAGGAAATGGCTGGAGGGATATATTTCAGTGCAGAATTTTAAATCTAATATTAAGCTTAAGAAGGGCCTTACAAAAGTAGTTCAAGACCTTTATGTCTTTGGAGGAAATCTTCACTGTGCTTTCTGCAGACAGTTGGAGTAGAGGACCCCATAATTATACTGTATGTTGTATTTCACTGGAGAACAAAAACATTTTACAGACGTAGCATTAACTGCAAGTTTTGTTTATGGCAGCACCTGACTGGAAATACTTCACGTATCATTTGTGTATCTAGTACAATGCAAGGTGTCCTTTGGTGTTGGCTTCCCTATCTGAGGACATTAACAGATAAATGATAAAGTAAATAATAAGTAAATATTAAGGTAAATAAACCATAAAGTGAAACTTCTGGCACTTTACATTAATAAAAATGCTGTTTAAAACATTATTTCAACCACATACCCAGGACATCTCTGGCTTCTACTTCAGTTCTTATAACCCAAATTATTTCTTTAATATAGTGATTAGAAGTAGGAAGTTACACCAGAAACTGTAGTACTAGGAAAGACAACTGTTATTCCATCTACCTTTTAAGACAGCAAACAGAAGGGACAACAGTGGCTGAAGAGATCTCTTAATGTGAAAGGTTTTGTGTTTATCAATGCCTTCAAATTTATTCCCTAGGAACATCAGCAGCAGACTTCAGGTTGCTTAAGGCCGGCATGACTGGCTTTAAGGAACACCGAGCCAGGGAGAAACTGTAAATGGAAGTTATGACCACCATTATCCTTGACACGGAATGTGCCAGAGGATTATCACATACATTTCCTATTCCTAGGTGTCCCAACACACTTGTGTTTCATCATGCACAAATATTTCTCCCCAGAACATGGCATTTTCTTCTTTCAAAGCTGTGGGGTGCTGCTGATGGATCACCTGCATGCCATGCCACACAGATCCGCATATGGCTGATGTTGAAGTACTGGGACTCTGACCAGCTCTCACTGCTCTGCGGGAACAGTTTTATGGCTTCAGAGTATAAACCCCCTACCTAGAAGTAGGCTGTGCAGAAGGGAGCCAGAAATCAGGCGGGTTACTCAAAAATAAACATTCAAAAGGTGTTTGGTTTTCTTAAATCAAGTTTCAGAGTTTACAATACCTTAAGTTTTAAAAATGTCAAAAGCCTTCAAGGACTTCTTTTCCAGAAAGACAAGTGAGAGGCTGTCTGGCCTAGGGAGGTCCATGGAGAGTTCCCATTAAGTCTGGCAGTGGAACAGGCACTCGGTATGCACACCACCACCAATCTGAGAGCTCTCCTGGAAATCAGAACTGCTCTGCTTTCTTAAGGGAAATTCATAGGAATGTATCCATCTAACTGGAACAAGACAGATTTCTTCTATATATTTGGGAACATTCTTGCCCAAATTACTTCAAAATACTTCTTCAAGAGCAAATTTCCTGCCTTTAGAAGTTCACTGTCTACAAACACACCTATTCCCAGTCAGCTAAAAAACTTTCAGATGGCATATAACAGGAAAATTCACACACAAATCTGATGTATTCCTGCCTTTAGAAGAGAGGTAGGAAACAGTACTGTTTGTTTAGTCACACAAGATTGGTGAATTCTTTGATGATTTCTGTTTAAAGCTCATTAAAAACATCCAATGTTAAACCTCAAGCACCCTTGAAATAACGGCTTCATTCATGGTAGGTAGGAGGCAGCAAAAAAAAATCAAAGTTGGCAAAAGAACTGGTTTCTGATCTTCCTCCCCTTTACATCTGTATGGAAAGACTCAATTTTACCTCCCTGCCTCTACAAGGTTTTCATCACGTTTACTTCAGATGTCTGCACCAAGGATGTAAGAGAGCAGCTCTGTACAGTTCAGGAAACCACTTGGTTCAGGTCAGAATCATAGAATCTGTGATTCTGTGATAGGTTAGGTATAAAAGGAAAGAATATTCCAAGAAAATTGCGCTCACTGGAACTGTAGGACATTTAATTCTCTGCTCTTGTGGAGCGAGATCCATCGTGACATCCCACTATGCACTGTGCTGTGATGGAAGGAGGTGTGATGGGAAGGCTATCCATGCTGTATTACACACTTTTTGCTAAGTATCCACACTAGATGCACGCTTTCCTCAAAAACCATTTTCTCACCTCAGTGCTCAACTTGGATACTGTCTACTTGTCTACAGTGTCAGTGTCCAATTACCAGCAAAAACAGCCTTTCAAAGCAATCCGTACCAAAACATTTTGACAAAGACACAGTAGGAAGTCCAGGGAAATCATTAGCAGCACTGAGTATGTTCTCTTCACATTCAGAATGAAAATCATTTACGTGTTATTTCAGATTAAGGAGATAAAGGCCTGTTAGCATACTCTGAGTTGATATAAATTTCCTATCTGCTTTTATGACCATTTCATAGTTAGTAAGGCACATTTTTTGGGAATCAGTTTTAATGTAAAATTGTAAACATTAGTTTTATTGTCGTAATCATGCTTTCCTTTATTCTATATCCTTAAACACTTTAACTATGGTTTTCATGGAATGCTTTTCACTAAAGGATTCAGCTATTTTTAAAGGGCTAACATGATTTAAGTCCTTTCCTATTAGAGCAAAAATAAAATAAGTGATACAGAGTGTGTGTCTCTCAATCCTTCTCCTTGTTTTTAATCTCTCACTCTCCTTTGAGAAACAGAAAAGTCACCCTTCACAAAGGACAGGAAAAGAAAAAATCATATAAAAAAAAAATCACACAAGGTGGAAAAACTCATTAAAACCATCTGGAAAAAAAAGAAAAATGTAACAGTTTTTCTGAATTCTTATTCTGGTTTATTTTAAGTACTACAGTTACTGACTGGAAGCTATCCACGTGTTCTGCTGAAGCTCACAGATCAAACACACAGGAGCGTGCTGCTCTTCATCCTCCAGAACTCTCTGACACACTTTTGCTGCAGAGCTCTGCTTTATTCCCCTTCTAGGTCCACCTATTCCCTGGCTCTTCTCAACAAGTATGTATGTCCACTTAAGACACTCACTCATCTCACTGAAGGAACAATACGAATTTCTCAGCTGAAAGACTCCCAGCTGTGGTAGATGAAGGACTGCTAAGTGAGCAGCACTTCCCACCTTCTGCAACTGGCACAGAGCATGAAGCCTGTATACAGATAGCATTTCCCTAAAAACTGATCAGGATGAGACAGCAGAGCAAAGAAATGCTAACAGGAAATTACTAGGAGACAGCTTGACAGCAATTACCAAATTATATGACATCAAGTTTCCTTGCACTCTGCCACACACAGCTACAACATGACTTTACATTCACCAGATGTTTAAACCTGCTTTACCAAATAAGATGTTAAATTCTACATACTGAAAATAAGCAGAAGTGCACAAGTCAGTGCTGACTATCTGGAAGACTCCAGGTCAGACTCTAGCCCACCTGTTTCATTCCCACAGATCTTTGGCTTTGACATCTAAAGGAAGCTCAGTATAGGACTCTCAAAATGACCACAAGAAAGAAAAACAAAACATTGGCACTAATCTGAGATCCCCAAATGTGATTATTTTAACTAGCAGGTTGGCTCAGTGCTGCACGTGGTAGTATAAAACAAACCACAAATTGCATTGAAATGCAATACAGTTATGGTGGAACAACTGATTTTGTGCCCTGAAAATAAATTAATTATCAAAATAAACACGTGGAATAGTCCTGCCAAAGATATATTCTCCCAGTTCCAGTTTAACAGAACTCTTTCCCTTCCTCTAGAGAAAATCTGAAGATTCTTCTACACTTTTTTAAAATGAATTGTTCAGTCCCACAGTCATGTTGTGTTTCTTTCAACTCTAACAACAGCTTAAGTGAGTAAGCATTTATTCAACTACTTTTGATGAAGAACTGAAAGTATGACTTTACATCAAGTCTTAATGACGAAAAAAAAGGCCAGAAAATAAGAAAACGTGCAACCACTCCCTTCAAATACGACCGTTCTTTGCTTAATGATCTCCTGTCGAAAAATATGACATGAAGAAAACAAATAATCCCTTTTTTTCTTATTCCTTTGGTAAGAGCCAACAGCCAATATAGTACAGATTAAAGTCCAAGTGCTCATTTTAAAAGTTGAATATACTTACGGAGTCCAAACCCTTGGAAAGGCAGCAATTTCTTCTGGTGTGTACTCATCTAACCTCCTGGGGACTACGCGTGGCTGAGGAATCTCTTGTAGAAGGTTCTTCTCTATATCTTCTGGGATAACCTGAGGGTGAGAACAGTCAAACGCTAGAAAGAAGGTACTTAGAAAACACCTTCTCCCCAAATCCAGACCAAAAACTGTCAACACTGCTGCATTCTTCATGCTAAATGAAGTCATAATACAGAAGACAATCACATGCATATTTTAGATATCACAACTTTGTGAAATAAAGAGCATCAACATGTAAAGTATATTTAGTTACATATTTAAGAAGTAACTTGATTTTTCTTCATTTATCTTGTGACTGAAGCTTTGCTAGTGCTCTTCACCTCCAAAGCAAAAAGAAAGCAAGCCCAACAGTGTGATCACTCACATCTTCAGGGAACAGGTGCAACCTCTGCATCAAAGTTCTTCTCAGAAGGTTTTTGGGAAGCATCCTATAAATAGTCAGCTTGACAATCTGAAGAAAGAAAACAATGTAATGACAAATCAGACCACCTACAAATAACATGAAAAAGGTAAGTTGTTTCCCTATTTCCTGGACCTCTTTTTGGTCAACTTCTTCCATACTGAAGAACATTGGCATCACATTTTCAAGATGCTCCAAATTTCCTGTTTTGGAAGAAGGAACACTTACACCTCAGTCATATAAACACTCCACCAGTCATAAAATAAACTGCTTAGAAACTAGAGCTGTATTTTGCACTGGGGATGATTGCATATGATCACGTGACATTCAAAGAACTGAAAAGCACACTGAGAATCTTCTATTAATTCTGTAATATTAGTCATGTATATAGATAGATAGATCACTGAAATGAATTAGGCTCTAACAAATTTTACAAGTGGTCTCAGCATTTAAACACCGTAATTTGCTGTATTCAATGTTTCAATATAATCAATGCATCTTGGTATCTTAACCAAGGCTGACCTGATAAGACACTGCTTCATAACACTGTATGTATTTATAATACACTACAAGGAGGAATGGTTTCAAACTGAGATACGGGAGGTTTAGGTTAGATATTAGGAGGAAGTTTTTCACAGAGGGTGGTGAGGCACTGGAACAGGTTGCCCAAGGAGGTTGTGGATGCCCCATCCCCGGAGGCATTCAAGGCCAGGCTGGATGTGGCTCTGGGCAGCCTGGCCTGCTGGTTGGCAACCCTGCACACAGCAGGGGGGTTGAAACTAGATGGTCATTGTGGTCCTTTTCAACCCAGGCCATTCTATGATAATTTATTCCCTTGCTATTAGTTCCAGATGAACAAACCCACTGTAGAGCATCAGGAATGAACAGAATTTATACACCCACAATAGATGATGCTTGCAGAAAAGTAACATAACATGATTTCTCTTGGACTCTAATGCAAATATCTGTAATTTAAATATGAAACATAGTGTTATGGACTTCAGCCATGAGAACATTTGTGTATGCAAAACAAGGCACGCAACCATAGGAGACCAAAGGGGATAAAAAAAGGACAGCAAGTCATTTAGAAGTAGAACCAGCATGCAATTTTTTTGAGCATAAGTAAACCCACTCTGACTATGCTCCAAGCCACTCAGATTTGAGCCCTTTCACCAGAGTAATTTTTATACTGTACAATTATTTCACTAACAGGAAAATATCACATAGAAAGCTCAGAACTGTAGAATATCCTGAGTTGGAAGTGACCCAATAAGGATCATCGCATCCAACTCAATCAAGTAAACCAAGGTCAAAACAGATCCGATCTAAAGCAACGGAGGCAGAAGCTCCATACTCCCTAACTAGGGACCCTTTCCTTTACACAAAAATTACTTGAAACTGTGATAGAATCAGTGTTAATTCCTTAGCTTAAATACACATCCATGTATCTGTAAGTCATTGGTCACATATTTGACCCTGTGCATGTACAGCTTATTAATGATTTCACTCCAATAAAAAGAAAGACTTTAAAATACTTTAATGAGCAGTTAAGTATTTAACTTCTTCAAGCAACCAGTGTTTGTGCCAGATCTTTCATCATCCTCTGCAGCCTGGAACAGACATCTGTTGGAACAAGTCAATGACCTGGATGAACTGCTGCTCTATTCTGGTTGTAGACACTCCTGCCTGATGAATCTGATTCCATTTTCTTGGCTCTGGGCAGCCTGGTCTAGTGATTGGTAATCCTGCACATAGCAGGGGGGTTGAAACTAGATGATCATTGTGGTCCTTTTCAACCCAGGCCATTCTATGATTCTTTATAATGTTGCTTAAAAAAGAAAAAAACAACTCTGTTTTAAAAAGTTGCCTATTAAAAAGCCATTCTGGAAAAGAATGACTGGTTTATATTTTCAAGTTAAACAGCAAAGAAATATTTTAAACTCCACGTATGGTCACTGCAGAACTGACAACCTCAGGGGACAACAAACTAACAAGATAACAGGATTTGGAGAATGAAGCCTGGATAATGAGATGTTCAGGAACAGTTTCAGTAGTTAAGCATGCTTAGTACAGTAAGTAAACCATAGATATGCTTTGGTACATCCTCCACGCTTTTCAGTAACTCCTGTGATCATGTCCTCTCACCTATGCAACATCTACATGAACAGAAAAATCACTTTCATGTGAAGCAGAAAGCATCTTTTCACTGCTAGGCAGATGGCACCGGTTTGCCCAATACAGAGCAGGAGACTTCATGGCACAGTCCCTCCCATTTCAGAGCTTACATTCAGTGGAACCTAATTCTCAGACGACACAAAGTTCGTTAACTACGCATTTCAAAGAGCTCATATTTTTAATTATATCTCTTTACGGCAGAGCCTTTAATACCTGAGCCACTTGAAAACACTGCCATCTGTACATCAGAAAAAAACGAAGAAAAGAAGGGCAATAACCTTGGATTTGGGCATCCGCAATGCCCAGCGACTCACAGTAAGTGCCGAGGAGCAAAGCCTTGCCTTCAGGCCCTGCTTTATGCCCACTGGTCAATGTAACTAACTTGCAGCACTACACAATTCATCATAGAATCACAGAATCACCAAGACTGGAAAAGACCTACAAGATCACCCAGTCCAACCATCCACCTATCACCAATAGCTCTCACTAAACCATGTCCCTCAACACAACATCCAAACGTTCCTTGAATGTCTCCAGGGTCGGTGACTCCACCACCTCCCTGGGCAGCCCATTCCAGTGCCTGACCACTCTTTCAGAGAAGTAGTATTTCCTAACGTCCAGCCTAAATTTCCCTTGGTGCAGCTTGAAGCCATTCCCTCTAGTCCTATCACCAGTTACATGAGAGAAGAGGCTGACTCCCAGCTCACTACAACCTCCCTTCAGGTAGTTACAGAGAGCAATGAGGTCAGCCCTGAGCCTCCTCTTCTCCAGACTGAACAATCCCAGCTCCTTCAGCCGCTCCTCATAAGCCCTGTGCTCCAGACCCCTCACCAGTTTTACTGCCCTTATTTGAACCTGCTCCAGGGCCTCAATGTCCTTTTGGCAGTGAGGGTTCCTTGCTGGAACAGGCAAATTTATACATCCTACACACAGTTTCCAATTTAAAGGTCTAATATAGAAGGAAAACAACCTTGGGTAAAGCTCTTTCAGTCTCCTCCCTAACAAAGTATGAGCATGGAGAAGCCAAAGAACATATTTACCTGGAACACTGTATGAGGCTCCAACATAGAATCATAGAATCACTAAGGTTGGAAAAGACCTACAAGATCATCCAGTCTAACCCATCACCAATAGTTCTCACTGAACCACGTCCCTCAACACAAAATCCAAACGTTCCTTGAACGTCTCCAGGGTTGGTGACTCCACCACCTCCCTGGGCAGCCCATTGCAGTGCCTGACCACTCTTTCAGAGAAGTACTATTTCCTAACATCCAGAATCCAATATTTCCTTTTCTGACTTCTTCCCAGATAAAACATGCTGTAAGGGAGGAAATCAACAGAGCAACACCACTCCTGAAAAGTACAAAATAATCAGACAAAGAATAAAATCTGCTCAAAGAGGTGATGTACAACAAACACCAGGAAGCAACTCTAGAGCTTAGGAAGGACACAGCCACTAGAAAGAAGGATATGAAGTGGTTCACTACAAGGCATACTGAAAACACCACTTGGACAATTTCAGGTACCAGCTCCTCAGAAGCAGCATATCTGCCAAATACCAGCTGTCTTCTGTACACAACAGTGCTCTTTTTCAGTAAATGCATGATAGAAAGGTGAAGTTCTTTTACCTCTTCTGAGTTACATGAGTAGTATAACGAAAGTGATTGTACAGTGCCATAGGAACAATTCAGACATAGGGGAATTGAACTTCTACTGCTATTCAGCACCAAAGAACTTGGAAGTTTAATTTGTTCTTTAACATGAGTAACTTGCATATTCAAGTAAGAAAGGGATTAAGATTTTTTTTTTAATTATTTATATTTAAAGCAAAAGACCAACACAACTATACGCCGTATTTAGAGCACTAAGAGGGTTTTTGTTTGCTCCTTTTTGGTTTGCAATACCAAGTTCCGTAACAATAAGCTCCTCTCCATGCTACACTAACTTCGAAGTGCCTACTGAGCCAGGCTTTGAAGTTACACTCTCCTTAATGACAAATAAATAAACCTCACAGCCATAGAAGAAAACCTAATTACATCCAGTGTTCCAGTAACAAACTTTTGCCCTGTACATACCGTTGTATCAGTGATCCCTTACTTCCCTGGATGAAAAGAAAACAGGCTTTCAAATATCAACAGCAAGATTTAAAAGTGTTTTCTGCTCAAGTTTTTCTTCAGAAGGTGATTATTGTGCAGGTATAATGGCAAGCCTATACATGCAAGCAGTTGCTTACTTGCATTCAAAAGGAGAATTAGAATATTTTAAGCCCCTCCAGAGCAATGCCAGCAGCTGAACAAACCCTGACACCCCCGAAGGCTTCCTCACAGTGTGTCTGTAGAGCTACCCTGCCTGGCTTCATCATCTTCCTTAGTAGGTAGTATGCGTTCTGAATAACTACTGCCCATTATTTCTTTGTCAAAAGCAACACAGGCTCTGAATGCTGCAAATGTCAATTCTCTCACCAAGTATCTGATACGAGCCAAACACCCATTTCTTTTCTGTTTTGAGGGAGTTTCTGTTCCAGCTAAACACAAAAAGATAAAGCAAGCCAAGTTTGGGTTACTTTTAGAACCAGAAACAGGAGGAAAAAAAAAAAAGGGGGCTGAAAATTTTGTCTTATCTGGATTATTATCTGGTTCTGCATATTAGATCTGTCAGCATGTTCTGCAGGCATTTTAATTAACGTCCCAAGTTCTTCCCAGGATTTTCCAAATATTATTTTTTCCCTCTCAAATCTGTGAGGGTTACAAGCACACAGGAGCATCTCCTGCTCTTCCCATACCAAGCACTCTGAAGCCTCATCTTGAAAATGCTGGTCTCATGCCTATTTGCATTTCCTCACCCAAATAAAACATGTGCAAATGTTATTAAAAACAAAACCAACATCCTAAACACATGCAAACAACTGTTTCATTCATTTCTGAAGGACTCTTCTTTGATAGAGGAATATTACACGGATTTTTCTTAGCAAACTACAATGGAAATCAACAGTGTACTTAACATCTGTCCTGAAGGAGTAGCTGGAGCACACAGAGTGTTAGTACTGCATTAACTTGATGAATAGAGACTCTTTTGTACAGCAACAAGGCATTGTGCTGCACCTAAAGAACAAGTTTAATATCCTGGTTGATGGGTGGTCTGAAAATTCACATTATATCTAAGTTAGAGAAAGAAAATGCTGAAACATGAAGCTATTTTCTCTCCATTAGATACTTCCTAGAGCAGCCTGGCCAAGCCCAGCACAAGAGAGCTGTTCTCCAATATTCTCTGGAATGTTAGACAACTGAAAATAACAGAAATTTTAAAGAGTTTCACAGATATCTGTCTCCCCGTGCCTCTCGAAGGGACTCGAAGGTGTTAAAGGTAGAAATGCATGTCTTCCTGGTCATCACTGTAATTTCTGCCTTTCCATATAACCAGCATTTTCCAAAGTAATGAAAAATTGGCACAATGAACATGGAACATCAACTATGCAGATCTCTTTCTGTATGCAGCATGTCATATAAGCATAAAAAGACATCTGAAATGGGAAAAAAACCAGTAACAGTCTGTCAAACTTGGGCACTAAGTTGTACATCTCAAACTAGACACCAAAAATATGCACTTTAAATCTTTCCAACTCAGAAGAAATGTCAGGCATTGAAGAAGGCTGCCCAGAGAGTTTGTCCTTGCAGCTTTCAGCACCAGTGTGGATCAGCCCCCGCCAGCCTTATCTCAACTGCCACCACTACTTCCAGCAGCAGGCTGCACTGAACATCTCCTGAGGCTCCCTCAAATCTGAATCATCCTCTGATCCTATAAACAAACAAACGCATACACACACATCCAAAATCCAGCATAAATCCTTCTCAAGCACTTACCACTACACAAAAGGAAAAAACAGCTCTAAATTTAATGAGATAATGCAGGTTGACACCATAGCACTCAAATGCGATTATTAAATGATCAACATACACCACTGTTTTGATACCCTATGAAGTACAATGAAAATGAAAATGGAAATGACTGTTTAACCCTTCTGCAATTACATCTAAATCCAGTAATTCTACTTGTGCCTTTCAGCCCCCATGCAAACACATATTGTTTTGCATCCAAGTATTCACTACAGCCCCTTTAGTTTGCTATTTATCATTTTTATTCATAAAATAAGTATTTCTGCATATAACTGCATTTAAACATGACTGTAATTGAAAAAATATGTGTTTGAATCTATACTTATCTTAAGTAAAGATAATGTTAAGCAGTAGTGCAGTATTTACTGCATGTGTATCTACACAAAAAAAACTTACCAACTTTAATCTATTTGTTACATAAACTGACAACAGTCATATCCATTTCAAAATTAACATCCCACAATTAGCAGCAGGTTTTATGTCAACATCTTTTCCCTTGGAAGGAGCCTCTTCCAAGAACGTGATGGCTTAATTTCTCTAATGGCACTTCTTCCCAAATTGATGTTGACTCATCTAATGAACCACTACCAAGATGAAGTAGCAGGCTACAACAGGACCAAAAGCAGAGAAAAAGCACTGGCCTCCAGGATGAAAACAACGTTTTAAAGAATGGAGACTTGGATTCCATAGAAAGATGCATTCAGCTTCCTACAATCAAACTAGTTCTACTGGCCTCACAGCAATCGGACCAAATATAACTTTAAAAAACAAGTCTCTGTTTTTATTTAACAGAAAAAGTGAAACAAAGTAATTGATGTATGTCACCATAACATTGCCTGTGGCATAGTGTTGGAATCACAGAATCACAGAATTGCAGGGGTTGGAAGGGACCTCCAGAGATCATCGAGTCCAAACCCCGAAGTAGACAGTCTTTCCAGTCCTTTCCAACCCAAACCACTCTATGATTCTATAAATAAAACAAGTTAATAAATTATCACCCTAATTTCTATATTTGTCATATCCCGATGGATTCTACACCAAAACAATAAACAAATGTTTCTAGCCATAAAATCCTTTGTGATTTGAAACCTAACTGGTACATGTAAAAAATACATCCTGCCAAATTACCACCAAATTACCACTCACTGCTATTAATTATGGCAATAACCACATATCTTTGAAAGACAGCCATCCAAACAGTTCAACAAAAGTTAATTGCTGAGGGCTCTCCAGACTTTTTAAAATTCATTTTTAAAGAAAGAAAGTTTCTCTTGCTAAATTAGACCACGTCCTGAGCCACATCAGCATTTGCTGAGTCTCTATCCAACATGTTTTAGTTATTGGCAAAGCACTAAATCCAGAGGAATGCCTGCACAGAAATCCATCTAGGAGTCTGGCAAGAAAAGAGGTATTTCAGAATGAGTGCCAGAAGATCATTTATAGAACCCAATTCTCAGAGCCTAGCAAACAAGTTGTGCTATACTGCCTCCCAGTGCACAACCTCTGTCTGAAGCTCAAATGAAAACGGTTGAAAAAATGGATTTTAGACACTGAACTACCAGTAATGCCCAAAGGAGTTACAACTATGTTTGAGCATTTAAGTTGTTCTGGAAAATTACTGACAGAAGGCAATACTGAAATGCAAGATTTTATTGTTTCACCATTTCAAATAAAGAAAAAAGCCCCACAAAAGTAGATAAACTTTTATGCAGACTTTTTTAACTGAGTACTTATACAATGTTTAGTACTGAAGTCTTGGGAGAAGCTAAGATTACTGAAACATTTAAAAAAAAACAAAGTAGGAAAACCCAATAATTTTGCAGCAGACAATTTCCCTAGGAAATGGAAGAAGCATTTTAATGTTTTGCATACAAGGTGACCTAAGGGAAAGCACCTGAGTCAGAGATAAAAACACAAATTTGTTCATCTCAGTGGACCTGATGCCATGATTTGAAACTATAGCACTTAGAGAACTCAGTCCTGTGAAGCTGAGCATTCAAACCTGCTGCAAAAGAAGTAATTTCATAACTCTAAGTCAACATCCCAAACCGTTCATGTCTAGTACATTTTTTTTAGGTTAGTAATAAATAAATCAAGACTAGTGTTCAACAGAATTAATAATGGCCAGATATAGACATTTACATTGATCCTCTTTACTAACCACCTTTTCCAAGTCTCTCACAGACCAGAAATACAGAGCACTGCAGACAATATCTAAAAAAAGTCATTTATGGGACACATGGGAGAAAGGGGCAGATGTATTCTCTGTATTTTTTAATATTAGCTTTATTCCAAATAACTCTTAAACTGCTAGGGTTGTTAATTTCAAGTACTGTTCAGTTCAGTCTAATTTGAGTCACTTGGACAATGAGAAAGGTCAGACCTCTGAAACTCAAAGCAAAGTCTGATTTGCTAATTTGGACAGCATGGAAGAATCATGAAAATGCACAACTTGGACTCTGACCCCAAAACATGCTGTTCACAGAAACAGTGTTATAGACTAAGCTCCAGTCATAACACGTTCTAACTTTACACGGGTTAAGTACAGCCTCTTTTGCTTAGGGGAAAATATTAAAATGAAATCAGATATACTTTACAAATGAAAGAGAAAAATGCTTACAGCAGTTGGATCTTTCAAATGGAGCTGAGTTGCTGTCACCTGTTTGAAACCACCAGGATAACTAGAAAAACAGAAGAAACATACAAGCTCAGCCCTACGTGCTCAATCATGCCATTAACACAAATAACAGTATCTTAGAATCACAGAATCACCTATGGCACAAAAGACCTTAAAGATCACCACATCCAACCACCACCGTCACCTACCAAGTTTCATCACCAAGCCATGTCCCTTAGTGCCACATCCACACATTTCAGAGATACCTCCGGGGATGGGGACTCCACCACTCCTCTGGGCAGCCCCTTCCAATGCTTGACAATCCTTCCTGTGAAGAAACTCCTCCTAATAACCCACCTAAATCCTCCTGCTGCAATATCACTCTCTTTCTCTTCCTCACGTCACTCTCAATATTTTACTTTTTTAAAGATTTGATTAGCAAAGTGGAAAAGCAAAAGAACTTTGAACAATGGTGTAAAATTATGTCTTATCTTAAGCCCACTAAGCAAGAAGTTATTTTCATAAGGGCACACAACTAACAGCTATTCTTTATTAGATATTCTGGTGAGGCTGTGGATGCTTCATCTCTGGAAGCGTTCAAGACCATTTTGGATGGGGCCCTGTGCAAACTGGTCTAGTACCAGATCTGGAGGTTGGTGGCCCTGCCTGTAGCAGGGAGGTTGGAACTGATGATCCTTGGGGTCCCTTCCAACCCAAGCCATTCTATGATTCTATGATACTCAGAAGAACAGAATCTTTCTTAGTTTAATTCTATTTGCACTTTTCCATTCATTCACTTGAATACTAAAAGGTAGTGTTGCATGAGCAGACAGATGTGTTCTAGACTGCTTGTTAAATAAATTATCACAGTTACAGAATAATTGGAGTAAGATATGCAAAATTAGGAAATATTTCAAGACTATCAAGACTTGCAACTAGCCCACCTGTTTAAAGTCTTACTGATATGGCACAGTTGTGCTAATTCACATTTAAGCACGTTGGATTCATTTTAATGCCTGGGGAATCATTATCGAGTGTTGTCACTGCATGAAGAGCAACTGTTCTTATTTGACTGAACTGAGCCATGCTGTAACAACTCATTACATTTTTATCTATGAAGAAGTTTTGTCTGCCAGAATAACACATTACATGCCGGCACACCTCTAGAGTACCTGATTTCTTACTGGATTACAGCAGATACAAACCTTGTATCCGCTGTTAAGTAGGACAATGAAGTTAAAGCTGGCATCTCTATGTATACCTTAAATGTTCAGTGCCAATAGGAAAGTCTTTTATTGTTCAGTAAATAGAGAAGTCCTGATGTTTGGATTCACCTCCATAGAAAATACTCTTGTTCACCTAATCTGTAAATTTGCTCCACTGCCATATCAATCAAGACACTTCAAAAAAAGGCATGCATCATTTTAAACACTGTGCAAACAGAACATAATGTAAGCAGGAATTCCATTTTGAACCAACCTGCTAAGAACTTGCTCTAGCAGAAAATATGTCAGAAGTGTACAGCCAGCTCACCTGAAGGTTTATTATAAAGTAACTTAACACTTACCCAGTATGTGAGGAGTATACTTTCTGTTCCCACTTGTTACCAGAAAAGGCAATATGTCTTGTATTTATTATGACAACATGATCTCCGCAGTCATCTGTAAAATAATCAGTAGAAAAGATATTTTAAATTGTGTATTATAAATTGTGTATGTATGTGGTACTACATATGTATAGCACATTCCATAAAACTCGAACTGAGAAGATCTGAGTTTAAGTGACTCCATACAAAACTACACTTAAATACTAAACTTAATTACTATTTTTCTTTGGAACGTCAGGTTAGAAGGAAGGTGAGTAGCTAAAACATCATCAAGCTGGATAATCAAACCATTGCAACTGCTTACTTATGATCCACTTGTCTGGCTTACAAGCAAACATAATATTTCATTCAATGTGCTGTGTTGTATGTGAACCTCTATTTCAAAAACACAGTATAAAAACAGTACCAACTTTTACCAGAGGACTGAACTCTTTCAGTAAGTAACATAGTTCTACTCAGTGATTACAGCTTAGAGCTCATTTGTGAAATGCAAAGCGGCTGCAACAGCCAAGCTAAAAACTAACCAGGATATCAACACCCATCTGAATAACGACTGTAACCTGTCATTTTAAAGCTGATAAAAAAATCATGGATTGCTACTTTGTCCTTCAAAATTTTGAACTAATACATTATTAGCTACTTGTCCTTTGATAGTGTTGCTCCCATCACTTCAGGGACATCTGCTCCCAGGAGAAAGCAAAAACATTTACTACCTGCACAAACACAGTTAAACTGCATCCTACTTCTGAGAAATATTCTATTGGTTACACACAACATACACATTGCACATCTCCAGATGAAATCAGGTGTTCAGTAATTCCATTCTGTATCACCGAATGTTTATAAGTTTCCACAATTTCTATCTCACAACAGAATGCTCCAGATTGTGCATTTCTCCTCCTATATTTTAATTATGGATTAAACTGTTTGAATGCAGGCATCATGCACTGTTAGCCCACATGACTGACAAGCCACTTGCCAGTGCTTTCTTTATAAGACAAGTTCCAGCTACTGCTTCCAGCTGTTTGAAGCTAACATTGCAAGCTAGAGTAATACCTGGGCTAGATGTGTCTTTTGGGACATTTCCATCAAGCTTGGTCTTCTCCTTTGAGAGTGCACACAACAGTTACCTGAACAACAAACCCTGCCCAAACAACAGAAGTGGCTCATTTACACTGGCCCACAATTCAGTGCAAAGAACAAGACTGACCAACACCTGAAAAAACTGGCTCACTATTTTTAGTTCCATATTGTGAACGTGTTCACAAAGACAAGATGCAAAGGAAAGTGCAGAAGAATTCATGAAATCCATGTTCAAACCCCATGAACATGATTATACCACCTTTCTTAAGGCAGATGGTCTATCAGCACTAAAAAATACAGTATTTTGGAGAATAAGTAAAAATTATCCCTAAAACAGAAAAGAAATATACACAAAATCAGATTTCTTTCTTTCCCTCCTCACAGTTTAGTTACAGCTCCAGACACTTTTCAGTAATAATGATTTTATGGAAAGGTGATTACAAATTAAAAACAACTACCAACACCATCACCACCACAAATCACACGCGACCAAAAACCCACCACATAAAATCTCCACAACGTTCTTCTAAACAACAGTTATCTCACAGACACTATTCCTTTTGTTTTTCCCTCTAAAGTACCAAAAAGTGTTGAGCACACCAACCACAAATTCACCCACACTTTCCTCTTTGAGAAAATCAGATGTCACCCATTCACAGCAATCTATCAGTCTCAGGTGTAACGTGTTTGGTACTGACTGATGGAATACTTCAGACCAAATAGAGTTAACCCTGAATTGACTTTTCAGGATTTTAAAGCACCACATAGGACTATCCAAGATCTTTCCCACAGGGCAACCAAAACTATTTCCCCTCAGTGCTTGCTTTAGTTTTCTGACAGCCTTACACTCCAGTGACATCTCGTGGATACAATACATTTTGCAACTGCAGAACTTGGGTATTAAACTTATCTTTGGAAATCTACAAATGCTACCTGTTATTATGAAAACTGGGTCAAGCATAACCTTAGTATGCATGTTTGATGTATATGAGTAAAGTTTAATGCTTTCTTTCTGCTTGAAAATTCTTGAAAATTCTGCTGGAGTTCTACAGGAAACATCGTGCCAAGAATCTCAGCACGCTGAAAAGGGATCATCTTCCTTTAGATATACATATTATCTATAAAATGCTTCTCATTGTGAGACATCTGCGATGGTATTATAAGATGATCAAGATCACCCATGGCACTGAATTTTCTCACCTACGGACAGGCAAAACAACTTCTTCATCTGATCAAGATTTCTTCCAACAATAATTACAGAATCACAGAATCGTAGGGGTTGGAAGGGACCTCCAGAGATCATCGAGTCCAACCCCCCTGCCAAAGCAGGTTCCCTACAGCAGGTCGCACAGGTAGGCATCCAGGCAGGTCTTGAACATCTCCAGAGAAGGAGACTCCACCACCTCCCTGGGCAGCCTGTTCCAGTGCTCCGTCACCTCACTGTAAAGAAGTTCTTGTGTACATCTGTGTGGAACTTCCTATGCTGCAGTTTCCAGCCGTTTCCCCTTGTCCTGTCTCCACTCACCACTGAAAAGAGTCCGGCCTCGCCATTCTGTCCCCCACACCTTAGATATTTATAGACCTGCATCAGGTCCCCTCTCAGTCTTCTTTTCTCAAGGCTGAACCGACCCAGCTCACTCAGCCTTTCCTCATAGGAGAGATGCTCCAGGCCCTTCACCATCTTTGTGGCCCTCCGCTGGACTCTTTCCAAGAGATCCCTGCCTTTTTTGTACTGGGGAGCTCAGAACTGGACGCAGTACTCCAGATGAGGCCTTACCAGGGCAGAGTAGAGGGGGAGGATCACCTCCCTCGACCTGCTGGCCACGCTCTTTTTAATGCATCCCAGGATGCCATTGGCCCTCTTGGGCACAAGGGCACACTGCTGGCTCATGGCCAACCTGTCGTCCACCAGGACACCCAGGTCCCTCTCCGCAGAGCTCCTCTCCAGCAGGTCAATTACATCTCCTGCCTCAAGAATCAGACAGGTCCTGTGACCACAGAACAGTCAAGGCCGGCAGGGACGTGGGTGTCCATCTGCACAGGCAGGCACACTCAGAGCAGGGGTCCGGGGCCACATCCAGGCGGCTTCTGAAGATGTCCAAGGAGGAGATCCCACAGCCCCGGGGCAGCCCGTGCCAGCGCTCCGCCGCCTGCACAGCACAGCACTGCACCGCACTGCACAGCAGCGCTCCTAGTCCCAGCCTACCGCAATACTCACTGAGCGCGTGGTAAATAGGCTTATGCCTGCCTTCCAGCCTTCTTATGGTTATGGCTGCTATTTTTCCCGGTGGTTGCATCTTCGCATCGAGGAGGTACCACGCTCTGGCAAAAGTAGCCCATTGCTGAAGACAAAGAAAAGCGATAGTTAACGCGAGAAAGGAACGCGCTGCCAGAAATCAGTCCCGCCGAGGCCCCAAGGGGACGGGGCCGCGCTCACCTGAGCCGCCTTGGTGTAGCTCGCCATGGCCGGGGGAACGGGAAGCGGAGCGGAACCCCGCGGCCCCGCACCGGGAAGCGGAAGCGCAGCGCTGTGAGGGGCGGAGCGAGGGCGGCAGCGCGGGCCGTTCGTCCTCGGCGGCCATGGAGCGCTACGTGCTGCTCCTCGGCTGGGGGGCTGCGGCGGGCGGCGCCGAGCACGGAGCCGGTGCTGGAGCAGGTCGGTATGGCTGTGTTGCTGCGGGGCGCGGCTCATCCTCCTCGCGACTCTTTGGCTCTTTGCTGCGGGGGCGCGCTGCTGCCTTGTGTTCGGTGTGGTGCCCGCGGGACCTTTTCTTGGGTTGCACATTAGGAGCAATTTCTTCTCAGGAAGAGATGCGCCGGCACAGGCTGCCCCCACTTCGCGGAGTCCCTCCATAAACTTTGTCTTTTTAAACCGTTGCAGACCTGCATTTGACAATTTTGAATTTACTTAATATTAAACCGAACTTTAAGCTGCACTTACAGTGAAGTCTTAACTTCCGAAATTCATCGGATTTAAGAGTAGCTTCTTGTTTTGTTTTTCCAGCTGTTGCAAATGTTTATAAGCTCCTGAAAGAAAAATGTAATTCATCTATAAAAACCAATACAGTGACGTTTCCAGGTAAGTAATTTACACTAATAGAAGGCAAATGATATTGAGGAATCTGCCTAGGAAAAATTAATGATCTAGGTTAAACAAGCAAAAAACTTAAGAAAATTGAGTTTTTACAGCGTGCTGAAAACTGTAGACAGGAGTGCTTTTGCTGCTTCCATTTCTACAGAGAGCTGATTTGACTAGAGCAGCTCCACTGTTAGCAAATGATTGAATATACTGTACTGAGAAAGAGAAGAGTTGTGAAAGTTTTGACAGATTTAAGTCCACCTTAAGAGCAACAAGGAATAGAAAAGGCCTTCTTTCTTGTACCAGTGGGCAGCTTGATATTGTCCTGCTGACAATTCTCATTACTCTTGTGATGTTTTCCAATTTTTTTTCGGTGGAAGTAATGTTTGTTGGAGTAATTCACTGTGTGAACTGCAATTACTATTTTTATGGAGCTTATGATTTGGTTCAGGTATGAAACAGCTTCTGCAAATGGATGGCAGTACTGCCAAGAATGGAGAAAAGGACAAAAACTTTATTAGTTTTTATTAATTGAAGGAACATTAATACTTAGACTGTTAGTTTTGCTGCAATATGTTTAGACTTTAAATATGATGCCAAAGGAAAATAGAGCTTAAGCTTCTGTGACACACTGAATGACTTATGTAGGGTCTTTCAGTAGAAAGACCTCATTGTAATAGGAAGAGATTGTAGTGGATTGTTTTAAATATCTATTTTCTCTTTTCAGCATGTTCAGCAGCTGGTATTCCAGGCATAAAGAAATGGTACTTTGCGAGTCACATTATATGTGGCTATTATCAAGTAGGTGATTTTTTTAGAACGTTGAGTTCCCCAAATCTACCTGTCTCTAGTGTAAATTGAAACTGTGATGCTCAGAGTTCTCCTTATTAGTTCTGCAGTTCTGACTGGGAGGAAATAAATTCTGACATGCAGAAAAATGAAGACTGTCTCCAAACAACTATTGAGAAGTGTCTGGGAAACATACAGAACTTTGAGGAAGATGACAGTAACAGTAGGGAGTCACTGTCTATGGCTGAGTATGCATATTATTATCTTCACTGTGGTATAGTGACCTTTCATTTAACAGTAATAACCCAAAGGAATCAAGAAAACTCAGTAAGTTACTACCAAAGCTGTAGTTAACTATGAACAATCCCCTCCTACAAGTGGAAATACTTCTACTTTTGCATTGCCTTAATTGCTTTTTTTTTAACCTATGGATGATTTTTGTAGTATAGCAGAGCAGGATCCTAACAGCTGATGGTTACGTGAGAAAGCAGGCTGAAATACTATGTCCAGTTTCACTGCAGGTTATTTTGAGTTTACTTCCGCCTCAGTAAAAGGGGAAATAACTGTAGCTCATTGCCTAGGCTTTGTGCTTATGTAGAATTTTAAGGACATGAATACTACTCAATGTAATATGTAACTTCTTGCAATTTCTTGTTTCTAATTGATTATATTTAGTTTCCAACCATGTTGCTCTTCATTTTCAGTGTTTATGATGAAGCTGCAGAAAGTCTGCATCAGTTGGCTGACAGACTGCCTGCCCCAGGTAAGCTCTCTTAAAAGAGCAGTCTTTGAGTTTGCTAGTTGAATTAACTCGTGTGCAAGTCTTGCAGATGGTTTAAGGAAAAAGGCTATGATTGGTCTTGCAGATCAGCTTAGGGAGTAATTTGCTTTTTCTTATAAAGAAACAGTAGAGATTATAAAGAAGCAGCAGAGATTAAGGTAGTTATTTATATAGCTGTTTTTTCCATATGAAAGAGCACTGAAATAGAAATAGTAGGCAATACAAAACTTAACTTGCAACTATATGAAGTTCTTTTGTTAAAGAAAAATTGAAGGTGTTGATGTATCAGACTTACAGCTGATGGTATTAAGCTGTCTGGTTGTGAGTGTGACAAGAAGCTGTGAGGAACATAGATGAGAGCTGTTGGGTTCAAATTGTACGAAGTGGAGATGCATACAACCTTCTATGTTAGGATAATCTAGTGTAGCAGTGGCTGAGTTGGAGTAGGAAAGAATGAGAAGTAAGTAGATGTTGAAAGAAAATCAACGTAGTGCAATTGTACTGGAGACAGGGATAGAGAACTCTGATCTGTACAGCATTCAGGGAGACAGCAGAAATCGGAAACTGGTGAGTGGATGGCAAAATATTTAACTTGAGTTTGTGTTAGTCAAAGAGGAGCAGGGAAAGATGAGCTAAATTGTGTGAGAAGTATTTTAAGTCTTGCTGAAATATGTAATGTTGATCATTAAGGCCATATCAGCTTGGTTGATGATAATCAGTACTTTTCTGTCTTTAAACAATTTACTGAGTAATGGTACTTGGAGTTATGTATGACTATTTCTACAGGAAGAGCAATGGTGGATATCATACTACAGGCTGTTGAAGGAGATGCACCCAAGTTGAAAGACTGCTTACCTGTGATTGGTGCCCTGAAACACCTGAGAGAATGGCACTCTGCACAAATCACCATTGCAACAAGTGACTCTAAAGGGTATGCTGTTCGTTTTGGGTCTGCTCCAGCTTCTGACAGCCATCCTACAGCTTGCCATTGCAAGTGGTCTTTGTTGTCTGACAATCTGACAAAGCTCTTTGCTGCAATGTTCATGAGCTACTTAATTTACAGAGCCTGAGCTAGGATTTAATCACATTTCGTGTTAACATGTAACAGTAAATTCACAAAGATTAATTCTTCCTTATTCTTAAAATAGCTGGCAAAAGATTGCAGACTACCTATCGGCAGACTTTGTCTCTTCAGATGATGTCATGGATGTTATCGATTTAAAAGAGCTCTGGAGGGGAAAGATTCACATATGGGAAAGAAAGGTAAAATAGCTTCAGTTATTGTTTTTTTAAGCATCTATGTGTATCGTTTAAAGCATGTGTAGTACACTGCATTTTATGTTTGAAGCCAAATTTGGCTTTAAAAACATAATTCAAAGATACAGTGTTTTTTGATATTTGGTTCAGTGTCTTGGTGGTGGTGGGAACTACTTAGCTTTTTTAGCTTGATAAAAAGCTGAACAGGATGAAGGCATTTGGATGTGAATTTGAGAAACAGTCACTCTCCTCTGAAATACTTGCCCGGGAGTTTCATGTTCAAAATGAGATTGATTTGGGGCAGATACAAATCATTACCGTATGACTATGAAAGTCATTATTGGAAGAGCACATCTAATGTTTTTGCAGAGGCTGAAGGATTGGTGATGGAAGATATCCATTTACTTTTTCAGGATTAATGTTTTTGGATTTAGTAATTGGTCACCTAAATCCAGTGTTATCACCTCAACTCATGGGTATGATGGAGAGAAATCACGTAGTAACTGCTTTAAAAGAAAATTCAGTGAGATACATTATTATTGTCTCCTTTTTAGTTTGCATCAGAAGTTAGCTTTCCAGAATTTTGTATGAAGAGCACTTCAGCAAAACCTCTCAGCACCTCACATCTAAATTCTTGCTTTGCTGACCAACGATGTATGAATTCTGATGCTTTGCCAGAGGTAGGTTGTATTCTTGACGTTTCTTTGAGCCAGCAGAATTTGTCAGATTTACCTGCTTGACAAAATAGGTAACTGGGGAAATACAGTCTGAATTGAAAACCAAACACAAAAGTAAGGATTGCGTAAGATTGAAGAATACTTCTCATTTCATGTCTGCACAGAAAACAGGTCCTTAAGATTTCGTGTTTGCTCTGAAGCGTGTGGTACCAAAATTACTTCAAAGTGGAAGTTGAAACTTAGCTCAATCTCAGTGCTTAATTTATTTTTAAATTCTGTGTTAATTTAACTTTTTGAGGCATGTGATGAGCATTCTAGGAAGTGAGTCTTATTAAACAGTACTAAATACCTTCCTTGTTTTTATGTAATTCTATTTAATATGATATTGTGAACTATTTTTTTATTTCTTCTGCTTTCTTCAGGTGTGCCTGTAAGGCAAATGCCTCCAGCAGAGCACTTGGAAAAACTTTACTGAGTGAGATCATGTTATGCATGGTATTATCAATTCTCTGTTTGATCTCTTTTCAGGTTTTTCATTACTATGGTCCTGCTTTAGAGTTTTTACAGATGGTTGACCTCTCTGAACTCCCCCCCTTTTTTATATCAGATCTGGAATTTGAGCTGTATCCTTTAAGGTTCCAAGCTGCTAATGATAATGGTTTATAGCAGAAAAAAAAACAATTGGGAGTTAAGTGCGCATATAACATCTGAAGAGTAGCAAGGACTCATTCCACACCAGTATGCTGAAATAATCACACAGTGTATCTTCACAAGATTTTTTCATATGTTGAAATTTAAAATGCAGTAACAATAACTAACTAATGTTTACATTCTTGCACATATATTTTGGCTACTTGTGGATATATGTGAGGAAGAATAGAGAAATACTTATTGATTCTCAGGCTGGATGGGTCTCTGGGCCACCTGGT